GACTTTGGATAAAACTAGTTTTTAAATAATTTCCTGGCTCAATGGCTTTTCAACTCTATAGGGGTGAAAATTGTATTAAAATTCTCTTGTACAAAGGGATTAGTGAATTTACTTGGTGGTTTCGCTTGCGGCGTAATATTGAATTGGTACCAAGCAGTCTAAATCGTATTTTTTGTATATTAGAATAATTGTAATAATAGTCTTATCACTTATCGGTTACTTATGTATTTGTTTAAGCTTGTCTCAAGGCTCAATTTGACTTATTTTTAGTTTATTTTCAATAAAATAAGTATTGCGACAAGGTTTATGATAATGTACACGTGTGCCTTTTCTAATTACTCAAAAATAAAAGCAAATTTCTACCCTCGTTGACTCAAATTCAACAGCTTATTAGTTAATGTTGAAAGGGCATAAGTATACAATCGTTAAAATTCAAATGAGTGCATTACTAGGTTTCGAACGCGTATTGCCAATTAGGAAATACCCATATAAGGTCCACCTCTTATAAAATGTTCATTTTTTTTATTTCGTTTAATATACGATCAATTATATTGCCAATTAATGCGAGTTTATGGAAGCAAAAGGCAAAAACTTTGTAATATCTGGGCGTAATTGGATTGCAATCAAGTGCGTCAATGGCTTTTCTATCGCTTTTTTCATTGTGGCCAAAAAATGCCAGTAGATAAAGTGACTAATAATAGACTGATTCACCTATCGGTAAAAAAAACTTATCAGAAAATTGCACTTTTTGCTCGTATAATGGTACAATAAATATTGTCACACGATATACCTTTTCGCTGATGACTCAGGTCATATCATATTTAGTTGTATTTACATAAATAATGTCCATTATTCATCGCTTTGTTTTGCCTTGAATCGCTCATAATAGGTCAAATTGTATTAAAAAACACAATCAGCATGATTATAGGTAGGTATTAGTATTATTAGATTTTATAGTCCCTAATTACTGGGTCTAACAGACGGAGATTTGAGCACCCGATAATTTTCGGCCATAAAACCGAGGTAGTTACGAAATACATTTGAGGCAACAAATAACTGTTTTATTACAATTGATAATCCAAGTACCGCGACCAACGAGTACCATACAAGCATGAAAATCAGAAACAACTTTTGTCTATTCGTACGTGAAATGAATAATTAAATATTATCGTGCGGGTTCTCGAATGATAAAAGTTTGTTTTCATGCATCTTCAGGGTTCTCCCAAAACAGGTTCCGAGAAAAAGTGTCAGGTTTCTTGGTGACTTATGAAGGAAATAAAGTGGGTAGGTACCCACCTTTCTGGCCCGATGGGTTGTACCTGAACCCTCATCGTGTTCAGTCACGTAGGTTCTAGATCAGAGGCGTACACGATATTGGAACTCTATCAATACTTTTTTTAAGGGCCAAATTATGGACGAATTGGTAAGTGTCTGGTTGTTACCTAGTAGGTACTTTCTATTCTCTAGTGAATAGGTAACAACTAGACGTTTACCAGTCAGTTCATAATTTGGCCCTAAGAAAAATGGAGTTTTACATTCTATTCTACAATTATTGATTTAGGATTTATCATAGAAAGACCCAGCAATTAGAATACTTATAAACAAACAGTTTGGCACACAAAGAAAGCAGTTACCCACCTGTTTTCGACCAGAAAACTTTTCCACTCCTTTTGTTGTGCCCTTAGGACGACTTGCCAAAACCTGTCAACCTGTTTTCTATTCGATCCCTTAACGGTCTCGAAATTAAAAGGGCCTCAACAAAGAAAACTACCAAGAGATTCTGTGCTATACTCACCAAGCTTTTTTAATTTTAATAATCTAGAAAATACAAAGAGATAGGGATTATACTTTGACTGATATTTTATTCCGTTTGCGTCTGATTTTGCGACACTTTGCATTTAAAATTCACCCTCGTTCTCGATCCTTTAGAATATGTGATGCTTAATTTAGGGATTTTTAGCGTGTGTTTTTTTTTTTCGGGGATGTTTAGGCTGATGAACTGACAAAGGGGAGCACTTAAATAAAACTCCTTTTGCCGCAGCCTGCGATGACATGACTCTGTTTATCGAGGAGAAAGGGAAGGAGTCTTTCATTTAATCACAAATTGAGATTAATCGTCGTAGGCTGATGGAACAACCCTCTTTTTTGCTCTAGAGAGAATTCCACTCGATTAATTATTTATCAAATTGCAAGAGTAAAAAGACGTTGTTGTTATCATATTATACAAAATAAAGTTTTAAGTACATCCTATTCACAATCCGTAGTCCAAAGGTACAGGTAAATTTATCATCTTTCCTTATCAAATAGTACTGAAAGGTGATACATTTTACCTGTACCTTTGGACATCAGATTGTGAATAGATAATAAGTGTAACAATGAGTGGCTTTGTCGATTGCCGAAACTCCTAGTGTGTGTAATTTACTTCTCTTTTTAATTACTTTCTTTCGGCATGGCAACCGAACGCGAAGAGTCACAGGTGGAAAAGTTTTCTGACTCACAGGGAGCTATTTTTACACCCTTTCCTTTGGGCTAACTTATTAGTCACACGCTTCAATTTTCTGTAAATTCTTTATAATTATAGCTCCGTTTCACCCTGAACTAGACATTTCCTGATTGCGCAAATCTAGCTTTTCTCGAGCCAAAATTTAGATTTTGAATAATGATCTCTACTTTTGCCACGCCACGCCAGATTTTTTTAGTGGAAAACTACTCGAATAAAAATGTATCCATCTAATTATTTTGTGCAATACACGCTAATTTACATTTAAAAAAAAAACCGGTGTGTTCGCAACCGTAATTATACCATTTGAATGGTTGTTTATTCAGAATGTGACTCATGTGGTTCGTTGCATAATGGAGAGCGCGGTTCAACAAACTTTTTTCGAAAACTTGCGGTTTAATTATGATTTTTGTATGATCAGAGAAAATTGCCGCAACAGTTAGTACAAGAGCCAATTTTTTAGTCCCACATACACGATTTAGGTTTTATGCCAAATGACGTCCGTCGGTTCAAGTTGAAGGACTAATTAAATTTTTCATAGATATTGGAAAGTGTTTTTTCCTACCGAATTTTAATCACGATTTTATGATTTCATCCCTCATTCATTGTGCACAACATGAACACAGATGGAAAAGTTGGATTGCTTAGTACAGATAGGGTGCTCAGAACAGATAGGGTACGCGGAACAGATAGAGAGTGTTCGTACAAATTATTTGTGAAACTATAAGTTCAAATGAGCTAAAATTTTCAGGAATTGTAGTCTTCTACTAGGACAAGAACCGCTGAAAATTTCAGCTTTCTTGAATAGAAAATTTTGATTTGGATTTTGGAAAACTTTGGAAGGTCATAAGTTTTTTTTCTATTATAGATAGAAAGCTGAAATTTTTCAACGATTCTTATCCCAGTAGAGGACTCCAATTCCTCAAAATTTCAGCTCATTTGGACTTAATAAAATCGTGTTAAACAATTCGGGGTAATTTATCAATTTTTCTGAGTGCATTTTTTCATAGAATCCGGCTCCAAATTTCGGAATAATTTAGTGTATGAAGTTTGGGGGATCCCAAAGGAACATTGACTCGAAGTAGGTACTTGTTATTTGATTTTAAAGTATCTTTGAAGACTCCACACGTATACAAGGTGTTTCATTAGGAAAGAGACATATTTTGAATGTATATAGGAGGAGTGACCGAAAGGGTTCCAAAAAACCTATATTTGATGGGTCTATCGCCCTTTATACCAGAGATACAGGCTGATTTATCGATTTTGCTACTTTTTTTATTCCTCTATAATTTCTGAACGATTCCGTATTTTTTTCTCAGATTTGGTATACTTATTAATGGTAACCTACCTGGACCTACCTATAATATCTAAGTTTAGTAAGTTTGAAAAAAATTCAGGTCCGTCATGGTCAAAATCTTCCAATCCCGAAAAATCACCCTGTATATTTAAATTTTCAAAATGTTCTTTTGTTATTTAATTCAGCACGAAACATGGTACAAGAAATAAATCAAAAAGAACTAATATTTGCAGTTTTTCTACGAAAGTAAAAATACTATCAAATTTTTGTAGGATGTCTAATTAAATTCTATATTTCGTATTTGACAAGAAGATGCAGGGCCGTAATAAGGAAATATTATAAAATGAAAAATTAAACTTCCAATCAATATTCTAATAAGGCATCAGCCTTTATTGATTTTTTAAACAATAAGCAACAAAAAACAAGCAATATTTGTATTTTTTTTTTAAATGAAAACTTCTTTAGATGCGTTCAGCACACACCAGAGGCTGAAAATAATCAATTTACACCTAAACACCTACATTTTGGAGTAGCATGTTTTGTGCTAAATTAATTATCTAACACAAGAAACTTTTTAAAATTTAAATAAGTATACAGGGTGGCTTTTCGGGGTAGATTTTGACAAAGACGGACCTGGATTTTTTTTACAACTTAGGTAGGTTACCATTAATAATATATTATTGAATAGTGGGGATATGGCCAACACAAATTAATTTATAGAAGTAGATTTAAAAAAGTAACAAAATGGTATGAAGGGCAATAGACCCATCAAATATGGTTTTTTTTGGAACCCTCTTGGTCACCCCTATCTGCATATTCAAAATATGTCTCTTTCCCAATGAAACACCTCTTATATAGATGCATTTTCTTTGTGTTTATTTTCAATGTTGGTAGCTTACGATTTTTGTGTCTTCAAGGGCCGGGGTTTATTCATCTTCTAATAAACTGTCAAGTAGATATGCATAATCTGACGAATAAAATGAAAACGCAATCTGTAATCTCATTGTTCGTTAGGCCAGTGGAATTATAGAACGGTAAATTTATCTCACAGTGAGTTTATCTGAAGATGAATAAACCGGGTCCTAAATAAAAAAAAAAAGAGTTTGAATTCAAGGGTTTTTGGGGTATTTTTTAATTTTTCGTCATGCCTCAATCATGGGAGAACACAAAGAATTCCTCCAAATGCCAAATAAAAGTCAACAATGAAAAAAAAAAAAATGTTTATTCCTTATAATTCTACGAAAGCATGAGATGGGTTGGTACAGTTATCACTCTGTACTGATTATTGAATATATCACACATAGAGCCATCGATCAATAAACTTTTCTAATCCTATAATCAAATATAAAAAAAATCTTAAAAACGTAACCTTACTTAGAGCTATCATAGATTATAGAGCCTCACAAATATTTATATATATATGTATTAATTTTTTTGTTGCCCTATCACACGTGATAATTAGAATTTGTACAAACACGCGCGATATGGGTTTTTCTTTATATAATTTTTTTTTATGTCACTTTTTGTTTTCTAATCACTAATTTATCACATAAAAAAAATATGAAAATTTAAGTACACAGGTACAATATTTATATCAACTTACTCATACGAATACATATAAAATTATCACGAAAAAATAAAATCACGGATTCCATTGGTTGGACCTGCAAAAGTGGTCCGCGCTCGCTCGTTCGAGACGAATTATTATTATTATTATCTTCTTCCACATTTCAATCGTGGAAAAAGTCGAAGAATACTGTCAAAAAAAAATTGTTTGTACTTTTTCGGGTGTTTTACAAACAGCCCCACTAAAATCTACAATCACGCTGCGCTTTCCTTATATAAAAAAATATAGAAAACAGTCGCAAAGGCTTACTCGCGCCCCTCCATCGAACGATACAGCTTCTTTTTCGTTAACTCGTAGTCGGTACTTATGATAACGGTACTGCCGCGAGTGATTTTTCTGAAACAAAATCAGTCGTGAGCAAAAAGATGTCAATAGTTTTTTTTTTTCTTGCAACTTACTTGATGAATTGCGGCAAAAATCCCCATCCGGCGTTTGCTTGTTTGAAAGTCAAGTAAACCTCAAAAGTCGACGGCGTCGAGGGATCCAGTTTCAAGCAGCTCATTCTTCTGCAATCTTCTTCGCCCTCGTAGAGCAAGTGTAGAGTCATGCCTCTGACTCCGCAGCACTCAGTTTCGGCGATTTCCAGCACATCTTCCGCTACTCTTTGCAGAAGACCAGTGGGCAAAAGAACTTCGCCGGCTGATAAATGGGTTTTCTTCGCCGACCGTATTTCTTCTTCTAGTAGTTTGGCTAGAAAGTGCGGCGGTTCGCTTAGATGTGGCCTCGGATCGTAATACCATTCTGATTAAAAAAACAATTAATTATTTGAAGCCGCAACGAAAAAATTATCATTTGACTTACTGTTTTGATTTTGGTATTCCGGATTGGTTTGGACCGCGATAACTTCCATAGTTGAAACACTTAAACTATATCACAAAAAAAAAAAAAATGTTGAGGGAAGCTGAGGGCTTCTTTTTGGGTGGTCGCTTCTATTACGCGATTCTGAATCTGACTGCCGGTTCCGACAGCTGACTGCCGCTTTTATACAACCGGTCCCCTTCTATAGACGACGAGAGCCGAGCGCTGTATTACTTTGTCAGGATCGTGCTTGTTCGCTTCTTTGTTCTCTCTGCTGGTTGATTATTTTTTATTTTTTGAAGAGCTCTAAGGGAAAAAGTGATGCAACCGAATTTTCAATTGTGTGATGCAACAACTAATTGCATCATAAATGTTTCTAATCTAATCGAACGCCATAGTGTCTGCCAAGCCAAATGATGATTATGGCTTAGTTGGCTTTGGTTGAACAAAGACCGTAATACACGGCTATCGATTTTCGTGAGCCGATGCAACGGAAAGGGAAACCTATGAAAATCTACCTGCCTCGGTATATTAGACAAAGAAATTGAATGTTGCATCATCGTGGAGTCTGTGGTAGAGTTTGTTATCCATAATTTGGATAAAAAAGATCGAACCTCCTTTTAATGTTATTATTAAATATATACACAGATGATGGGAAGGCGCGTTTCTGGAACACAACAAAGAAATTGTGGTCGACTATTTTTAAAACGCGCACCAGATGTGTGAGGCCTGATGGAACACAAGAAAACTGATGCAATCTTGGTTTCGTTGAAATTTGAGTTTTTAATTTTTCTATTTTGTCCCTCCTCTCTCCTCTTATTGTATGCCTAATTGGCAAATTCGATTGATTGTTTCGTGGAAAACAAAGTCCAAATTATTGTCTTAATAAATATAAAAGAATGGCTCCTGGAAAATACAAGATTAAACTTCTCCTGCTTTGTTATTATCCTACTGCCTATAATAGGGGAACGGTTTTTATGGGCCTTTGTTTGGAGAATATTTCCTTGCAGGAGGGAGCCCAACGTCAATAATCGACCCTGTACAATTTCGTTTGTGTGCAGCCTAAAAATATACGTGATAATAATATTTACCGTATATGAGAAACGTAATTGACATTTAAACGCGAACTCGATATACCTAGGCTCGCACCTGTTGAGATTGAGAAAAGCTAAATCTGCAAGAAAACAATAGCTCATTATGTATGTCCATATAATGCTGCACAAGAACCGTAATTTTTCATGCAAATGTAGTTTGAATACAATGGTATATAGAGGAAATTTTCATCTTGCCATAAATGGAACCTTGAAATAATAATTATTTAAATTTCAATTAGGTAATTAATTCGATCTTGCCTGGAATATTCGAGCGAACAATTTGGCTTTTTTGTTTGTTTACTCGTTCCTAGAGAGCAATAAGGCAAACATCATCGAAATATTAAGTTGTCTTATCAAACCATAATTAAAGCGGGTTCCAATAATCGGTTCGAACCGGTATTAAGTAGGCCTAATATCGTGTGTACTACTGATTACACGTTTTCAATCAAACGCGTGCATTTCTTTGTTCTGGTTTCTCTCCCTTATCGATCCGAAGCTTGCGAAGGGTAAAATAGTTTCTTTGTTCGCCCCGTACCTCGATTTCGTTCACTTTAAATTGAACCTTTCGCATCCCTTAAACAAATTCGAACTTACAAGTGTTGACTTCAATCAATTATAGCTATTTATGTACCAAGGGGATTATGTAGATTATAATGCCCGAAGGCGAAACTAGCCCGAGGGCCTATGGCCCGAGGGATATATTTCGCCTGAAGGGCATTATAATCTTGAAATCCCCGTGGTGCATACAATGCTTTATTTTCTACTCAACACAATGTTTTTTCATCAATTTGTTATTAACAAAATCAGTCTAACTTGTGTGACAGAATATTGTTTTGTATTTTGACATGTACCTGTACCTGTGACCTGTACCTGTACCTGCGACCTGTTCATAGAAACGAAATAAATTAATATATCTATAAACATCTCATAAGGCAAGGCAACGGTGGTGGTCCTGTGGGTTAACGCGCTGGACTACATGGAAAACATTGATGGTAGACCGGGTTCGAATCCTGGCTAGACCGAAAATTATTTTCGGTCAGACATTTAGTGGCTGCCTAGGGTAAAGTGCAAATTAATAGAACAACAACAACAAAAACACCTTAAGGTATTATAAGCGGGCGTTATAGATCATAACGCCCGCAAAAGCGGGCGTTATGGATCAGGTTGTTATAGGTGTGTTAACGTATTTCGTTTGCTAGGTATTATGGATCTATAATAGTAAAGTAGAAAATAAATAAATTAATATATCTATAAACATCTCATAAGGCAAGGCAACGGTGGTGGTCCTGTGGGTTAACGCGCTGGACTACATGGGAAACATTGATGGTAGACCGGGTTCGAATCCTGGCTAGACCGAAAATTATTTTCGGTCAGACATTTAGTGGCTGCCTAGGGTAAAGTGCAAATTAATAGAACAACAACAACAAAAACACCTTAAGGTATTATAAGCGGGCGTTATAGATCATAACGCCCGCAAAAGCGGGCGTTATGGATCAGGTTGTTATAGGTGTGTTAACGTATTTCGTTTGCTAGGTATTATGGATCTATAATAGTAAAGTAGAAAATAAATAAATTAATATATCTATAAACATCTCATAAGGCAAGGCAACGGTGGTGGTCCTGTGGGTTAACGCGCTGGACTACATGGGAAACATTGATGGTAGACCGGGTTCGAATCCTGGCTAGACCGAAAATTATTTTCGGTCAGACATTTAGTGGCTGTCTAGGGTAAAGTGCAAATTAATAGAACAACAACAACAAAAACACCTTAAGGTATTATAAGCGGGCGTTATAGATCATAACGCCCGCTTTAAGCGGGCGTTATGGATCAGGTTGTTATAGGTGTGTTAACGTATTTCGTTACCTAGGTATTATGGATCTATAATAGTAAAGTAGAAAATAAATATATTTTCGTAAAACAATCCGCTATCTTTGTTTTAGGAGGAATTGCATCATTTTATTGACTATCAAAATCTCAAATTAAATATACATTGTTTATCAAATCTTGGTGTGTTGCCATGAATTTATATCAAAGGTGGCTATGGAAAATCTATATGGAAACATCTGGTTGCTTCGATGATAATGTTTATTTAAATTGTAGATTTTTTGGAATTTTTGTATCATTTAAACTATTACTATAACTATGATGATTTTTCTAGAGGGAAAATGTCTTTAAATTAATATTTGAGTTGGCAAAATTTACAGGATCTTCTGAACAAAGGCCCATCATAAAAATCGTTCCCCTCTGTAGCTCTAAACTCTAGAGAATTTCGGTATTAATTTTAATATTTTTGTTTCAGGCCCAGGGCTGTGGAGAGGTGAATTCAAGGTAAGATTATTCATCATTATTGCGAAAAGGTATATAATGGCATGGCTCCATCTTCTTGAATAACCCCTGAAATAGTAGTATCTATGGTTATCGAGATATTGAAGTTTGCAAAAAGTGCTAAAAATTCAAAATCTTGTTTTTAAATTTTTTCTCAAAAGTTAATATAAAATGACTTAACATAGTTATTTTAAAATGTCAGTTATATCATCTGAAAAAGCATTAGGTTAGGTTCTTTATAAAACTGTGCCAAATTGGTTTTGGTAACTCATACACTTTCCGAGCTATCGAGCTTCAACAGGGTTGCCAACACTCCGGTTTTGACTCTGACCCAAGTAGCACATAATATGGGGTAAACATCGTTTTTCAGTTGGGCCAATATTTATTCATTTTTGTTGCTAAATCAACACAGTACCAATATTGGGGCAACGTTAGTTTTAACTATGTGGAAACAATATTCAAAAATAATCTTGTACCAATATTGTTTTCATAGATTAAATAACTTTTCAGTAATTTGAATATTGGCCCAAGATTTCTCACTACAAAAATGATTTATGAAATATTGGCCTAATCTTACATTTTATATTATCGAAACAATATTGTAATATAATATTAATTCAATATTTATTTTCAATTTTTTCACAATATTGATACTCTTTGAAAAGCCCAATGAAGAGCCAATATTTACATACTAATTTTTACCAAGGTTAGATTTTCTGAATTGAAAATGTTGGTCCAATATAGGGTATTAAATGTGCGCACTTGGTGTGCCAACCAAAAAATAGATGGAGACTCTGTCTTCACTTTACCTGTCTTAAACCTGGCTCCGGGATGAAGCCAAAAATTGGTTGTTTTCTCTCTGCGGGACCCTGGCAGGACTTAACCGTGCTGATGAGTTGTGATACAGCAAAACGGGTTCACGGATGGTCCGGCAGAGAGAAAACACTTCTTAGTCGGTCCTTATAATTGGTCCGTTACCTTAATTAAATATAATATAAAGCCAAGATTTACATACGTCTTCGGGCCAATATTGGTAATTTCAATTGGTTCTATATTGCATAAAGTTCTTGATATGATATTAGAGGTGGGCCAATCTGCGATTTTAATGGAACTGTGACAAGACGTGACTGCTCCAGTCGTGTCACTGTGACAAAGAGCAGTGATTTTTTGGAGCAGTTTTACCTTGGTTGACGGCCGTACTGCTAATATTATGGTAATGCTACGTCGCAACATGGCATAATCACAGTCATCAGTCACGGCCGAGAAAGATGTTCCAGTTTCTGGCCTGTCCTCTGCAGTAGCAGTTTCTATTTGGCGTGACTGCGATGCGATTTTTAATATTATATTATTTCGTTCGCATCACTTAGCTCGAGTTTTGTCCGCGCTGCATTGGTCGGAGCTTGAAGCAGGCAGTGACAAAATGTCACTGCTACTTGACTGGGACTGGAGCAGGCCGTGACTGTGACAGACGAGTAGCAGTGACAAAGTCACAGTTCGTGAAATCGCAACCCACCTCTATATGATATTGATTATTTCCTTTTGCGCCAACATTTGGTTACGTTATTGTACCAACGTTGGTATTTGTTTTTGGGTATATATTGACATACGTTCTTGGACAAATATTGCAGAATGTCCACATCTTTTATTGGGCCAACATAGAGAATCTGACTTGGGCCAATAAATCGTAGTTATTGTCCCAATATTGGCCCAACATGGGAGTGCTGCTTGGGGAGACTCCGGATTTTCAAGGTTATTCTCCGGTCTCCCGATTA